ACCAATCTACAAATAGAACAACTCTCCTGCTGTTTAAAAAAAATAGAAGTGGAAGTACTGGCAATGGCTAGCCATTATTTACTGTGAGTGATATCCCTCTGTGCCCCAGCCCTGCAGAAAATCGCCACCATTAGTAACTTTTTACAGCGTTCTGCCGCTTATCACCTCCTGGGTAGACAAAACTGAATTATTCAGAGGCTGAATAATGAGATGCGCTGAACATCAGGGGACACAGATGTTAAGAGAGAGGTGAGGCATGACAAAAAGACAACATTCATTAAAAATCCAAACAGAGCCGTGCTGATTGGCTGAACGCCCAGTAGAACGTGCCAGTCCATAAATACTCTTGCATTACACCGCCAAAGCCATACTGAGATAGAATACAACACATTAGGCGAGTATAATCATACCAGAATTAGAATAACAAAGAGAAAAAGCCAGCACAAAGAAATCAGGTCCAAGGTCTGTGGTTGCAAATGTAAATCATACAGAAAGTGGGGGAAATATCAAAGTAGGTTGTTATTTACAAACAATGTACAAAGACATTAGAGTTGGCGTTGGCCTTGGCCTAAGTCTTCAGGGATCACATTCTGTCCCAACACATGAATAATATAACACCACTGGTTTGAAATGTCCAATGATTTATGATTCGGCTATATATGTTTGCAAATCCACTATCGTATCAGTTGCCTTTTATAGGGAGTCGAATGTATAAAACGTAGACAACGTTTAAATACAGGAACTGCTGTTTTTTTTGTTTGTTGACTTTATCATATCATAATTGCAGGATTGGGAAAAAAATATTGTCTAAAATCAAGCTGCCCAAATGAACTGTTCAATTATTTTATATATTATTGATATCTTTATTTTGGGATTCGGGTTGAATAAATAAGCAATTCATGTTACCTATATGAAACATTTTAAGAGCATTCTTCTGATATTACAAAAAAACAAGTTAGTCAAATAAATCTACTGCTTGAGTTACAATGAAAAAAATTGTCATTTTTAGAATGTAATACTTTACAGAATTTTAAACATTAGTTTAATTGCTATTTGATAAACAATTAATTTATACAAAAGCAGTTATTTATTTCACTGCTGCTGTTTTTTGTTAATATCAAATCATCTTGCCTGTAATTTCATTTCACTTATAATTAGATTAAAACACAACAATATATATTTGGAATTCTGTTATTGCAATTAGCTCAGACTTTAAGAATTATTTCTTATTTAATGATTATGGGAGTTGTCAGAGTGGTCCTGGTCGTGAGTGGGATAACATTTGCATAAACTTAAAGGGCCTTGACACAGTAATTTTAGAAGGCACAAGAACCATAATTGTAATCTTTGGAGTTATTTGTAGCATCAACAAAGAGTTTTCCTGATAAAGAATTTCTCTCCAATGCACAACTACTGTAAGTGTCCAATTTATACCCAATCTCTATTCTGTGTTGGTTTACGGACGGACACACTGTAACAGTTTCAACCCGGTATCACGGCAAGACGTGAACATGTGACGATCTACCATGCTGGGAGACGTGAATATGTCACGGTTTCGTCCCTTCAAACGTGACAGTTACACGGTATTGTTAACATGGTCCAACCAGTGGAGAAATACCCGGAAGTGCCAAGCAAATGGTCTACCGCGCCTATTGGTCGGTTTTTATTGTCAAAATTAGATGTTTTTAATTAATTTTTTAATCGTCATACTCGATTTCGCCGATTTTCTTGTTGCCCTAGCTGGTCGACACCTCTTTTAGCAGAAACAAAGGCTACATTAATGTATTAAATCGATGTTAATCCATGTGTGTGGAGGTGAGGATGTGGAATTAACGGACGTGACGTTGTGCGATTGCGTTGCCAGGCAACGCAATTTACAAACTCTTCAACTACAACCCTAATTATATTTTAAAACATTTTAGAAGGCCTCACGAAATACTTTAATGTAAATTAAAATGTAAATGTGAAGGAATGTGTGTAATGTGGTGATTGACATTATTCACCCACGGATCTATGGGTTGGGGGTATTGTTCCGCACGGACATTTTAGTTAACCGGACTCCTGTTGATGTGAAATCCGAAAACATTTAAAAAAAAAAAAAATAATACTTTATTCCGAGTTTGCATGCTTTTCTCTTTGGAGGTCATCACATAACGGCATTGTAATACACGGTTCGGCTGCATTAAATATGACATATCTGCCGTAGTTCTGTATTTATACTGTAGAGCCCTGATGAGAAGACTTCTGGACAAACAGGAAGCACTGCCGCCAAAACTGAAAACGTGACGTGGATCATAAATATATCAGCAATTAAACAACATCTTACATTTATTTTCACACAATATGTCTCCTTGCAGTATCAATAATAATTCGGCTGACTTTTATATTTGATCCAATTGGTAGATAGGCTGTATTTACACCATAACGGTGCACAGCTGATAGAAAGGGACACCTACTGGTTAAAGCACGTTATTGAATTTTATTATTTTATTATTTTTCACAAAAATGAAACCATCAATAGCAAAAACAGAATTAACTGTCATTAGTAAACCACTCAAATAAAAAGATCATAAGTGGTTTTGTTTTACATATATTTTAAGGATAATAATAGCAATGTAACACTGTCTATGACACTTACTGTATAACACTGATTTGAAAAACATACAGAAAAAACGAATTCACTGCCCTTAATAAAGTATTTAAATATACATTTCAGGTGTGCTGTTTTGTTTAGATCATTAACATCTGGAGCTCTTTTAATGTCCTTTTTGATTATTGTTACACCAGGTCTTGTCAAAACCTTTATTCCATATTCAATATCCATTACTAAACAAAACAGCAATTCTACTCCACTACAATTCAGAGGTTAACCTGGTATTTTTACTCCACTACATTTATTTTAGTTACTTTGCAGATTCTGATTAATGATGTGAAATATAAACAACCCTTGAATCAGGCTTTAGTTACACCTGAGTAAAATTCAGGGAAAGGTGATTGTCAAGTGCCAACAATCAGGAGAGATATTTGATAGTTGCTGCTTGAGAAGACTAAACATTTATCTGCAGATCCCTATAAAGTATATTCATTACTCGTTATTCTCTACTAATAGTTCATTAAAGACTGTATATAATGGCTATTTTGCATATCCCTTTCAAGATTTCAAGATGTTCTAAGGTTCATTGACATATCATATACACAACTAATTCAATAACGTGCTTTAACCACTAGGCGGTGCACACAAGGTACACACAGCCATAATAACTTTGTATTATTAGTGTAGGACACTTGTGTATGTATAACATCTGAAGATGTGTAGTTTTATTCATGTTTTCACATAATTGTACAGCATATTGCTATATTATTTCACATGTTTTACTTCTAATATCTGATTTGTAAAACATCACAGACAGAAAGGTATATCCGTCATTTAACAGTAAGCTATTGAAATTCTGAATCCATAGATGTGTCTCCCATCACCCAAATCCCCTGACTATTCTCTCAACTCAGTATTTACATTCTTATATTCAAAGAAAATCAGTAATATCTTTAAAAACGACAAGTCCTTTTATATCAGCTGTGCACCGTTATGGTGTAAATATAACCTATCTACCAATTGGATCAAATATAAAAGTCAGCCGAATTAGTATTGATACTGCAAGGAGACGTATTGTGTGAAAAGAAATGTAAGATGTTTAATTGCTGATATATTTATGATCCACGTCACATTTTCAGTTTTGGCGGCAGTGCTTCTCATCAGGGCTTCAAATACAGAACTACGGCAGATATGTCATATTTAATGCAGCCGAACCGTGTATTACAATGCCGTTATGTGATGACCTCCAAAGAGAAAAGCAAGCAAACTCGGAATAAAGTATTATTTTATTTTTTTTAAATGTTTTCGGATTTCACATCAACAGGAGTCCGGTTAACTAAAATGTCCGTGCGGAACAATACCCCCAACCCATAGATCCGTCGGTGAATAATGTCAATCACCACATTACACACATTCCTTCCCATTTACATTTTAATTTACATTAAAGTATTTCGTGAGGCCTTCTAAAATGTTTTTAAATATAATTAGGGTTGTAGTTGAAGAGTTTGTAAATTGCGTTGCCGTTAATTCCACATCCTCACCTCCACACCTTTATATATACAGTCTATGCTCCACACACATGGATTAACATCGATTTAATACATTAATGTAGCCTTTGTTTCTGCTAAAAGAGGTGTCGACCAGCTAGGGCAACAAGAAAATCGGCGAAATCGAGTGTGACGATTAAAAAATAAATTAAAAACATTTAATTTTGACAATAAAAACCGACCAATAGGCGCGGTAGACCATTTGCTAGGCACTTCCGGGTATTTCTCCACTGGTTGGGCCATGTTAACAATACCGTGTAACTGTCACGTTTGAAGGGACGAAACCGTGACATATTCACGTCTCCCAGCATGGTAGATCGTCACATGTTCACGTCTTGCCGTGATACCGGGTTGAACAGTTTACACAACTTGAGTATTTAGGGATTAATACTTGAAATGTTAACATTTAATTTCACAACAAATCAGAAATCCGGCGTGTGTGTGTGTGTGTGTGTGTGTGTGTGTGTGTGTGTGTGTGTGTGTGTGTGTGTGTGTGTGTGTGTGTGTGTGTGTGTGTATGTGTGTGTGTGTGTGTGTGTGTGTGTGTGTGTGTGTGTGTGTGTGTGTGTGTGTGTGTGTGTGTGTGTGTGTGTTTTCAGAAAAGAAAATCTCTGCCAGTTTTATTAAACCATTGTTTATGCTGAATGTCAGCTGACATGCTCTTTTCTGGACAAACAATAATACTGCTTGAATGAATATCAAAACAACCTGAGAAGACGCATCATTTTACATGCCAGCTTATCTGAAGCATCAACAACCGCCATGACATATGGACGGCTTTGCCACAGTCACTTATTTACTTGTCCAAGCGTAAGAAAATCACAGAAAATATCATTCTGAAAGCAATTTAGGTGTCTTACCTCATCTCGGTAGATGAAGAAAAGCATGATGGACAGAATCTCCAGGAAGAAGATGAGCAGGAGGAGGATGAAGAACTGGGGAGACAAAGAGGGAAGAGAAAGCAGTTATTTAACACACAATTTATCAGTGAAGAGTACGCGACAACAAGGGAGATAAAGAGCATCTGTCTGTGCAAAAAGAATGAAGTATACATTGAAAAGAAAGGAAAAAGCAGCAGATTGAAGAGTGTTTGGGGAAGGAAAGGAAAAAGGTATTAAAAGCAGGAACAAAATGGGCCTAGAGTGTCAAGGAGAAGGAAAGGAGAAGTAAGGATGATCAAAGAGCTATAGATCGTTCAGCCACAACATTTCTAAGTGACAGGTCAAGAGAGCAGAGAGGAGGTGGTGGGGTAATCATAGCAAGTAGGACACACTGGGAGAGGTGATGTATAGTTTTCCTCTGTCAGTGTTGGTATTTGTTAATGGAGCCACATTTTATTCCTCACCAGTCCCCCACCCAACCCATCCTCTCTGGAATGAGCTGCTTGATAGGTGATACATCTCACCTGTGTGAGTGCTTAAAACAGTTACAAGCTCAATCATCAACCACTCTTGTGAGGGGACATGTCTCTCACACATGACTGTCTGAACCAGGGAGGGGTGAAATTATTGGAGGAGCAATAATATTATGTTGCTCTTATAAGAAGGATGTTGATGAGATTGCACTGAAACACGAATGATGTGCGGCAGCAGCAAAGCCTTGGTATTGTCTATTTATCTATCGGTCCACCACTCAAATATCTCAGGAACTTGGTAATAAATAAGTAACACTTGAATGGGTGTGCATAAGACTGACATTATGGTCTTCATAAACATGTCATTGCAGACCTTATCATCAACTATGTAGCTGTATGTGTTAACATTGAATGCTAATGTAAGCTCTGGTTGGTATGAATCTGGCTGTCATGAGAGCATTATAAATGTGTCATTTATAATTTCTGCGATCTCAACTACAGTGACACCATTCAAGCCTTTTATTAAAATGTCATTAAATGTTATATGTCCACTTTGAACACAGGATATACCATCAAGTAACTAATGGAGTGGTAGAAAAAAAGCTACTTAAAATGCTCAACAAACTGCTAACTACAGCAACCGTTAGCTAGTTAGCCGATTTAACTATCCAGCTGGCGGTCCCACTTGCTGACTCAGACCCAGGTTGCCAGAAGACAAACTCATAAAAGAGAACCACTTCTGTACTGCATTTCCTGTCGTCAAACTGACCTGTCCATTTCTGACGCTGTTTTTGGTTTTGGTCCTGCTGTGTAAACTTGGTGCTTCACTGAAAGAGCCACTAATTGCATGCCAGGGGACAACACACATTCAGCACAGTTTTCTATGGTAAACGCATATCAATATCTCCCTAGCTTCCTAAAAAAACAAAACGTTTAATAGGCGTATAACATTTGGGTTCAAAAGCACTCTGTAAGCCGTTTATTGGGGAAGTGAGCAGTCAGTGAAGACGGCTGGACACATCTTAGACAGAGTCAATTTATTGCTAACTGTACTGAACTGTACGGCTAACTGAGCTAATGGCAGCATTTATTTCACCTTCAAGTAAATCTGTCCCCCATTTCATAAAAACTACCTCGGTACTGTATTCCCTGGGGTCAAACTGCCCTTATAACATTTAATGACCTCTTAATGAAAAGTCCAAATGCTTTCACCATAGCTGAGGTCACAGAAATTAATCATGACACAATTATTTCACAATTTTATAACACATAACATATTATGACTCGTCTATTCTCTATTGTGTACTGTACATTTACATAGAAAGTTCAATTGTTACATTTTTTACAAGGCCTGCTATGACATCTTGATTTTCTTTAGCATTTATTTGTTTCAGTTTTGACACATTTAAAATATATCAACTTCATATTAGCAGTGCAAGTAAGTATTCATGTATTTATTTCACTGGATTACTGAAGAAAACTTGAAGATTCTCAGGCGTTTTACAGAGAGTGTTTCTTTTTAACAATTTCTAAGCGGATTAATGGGCGGACGATTGGAGATAATAATATCCTCAGAAAGCTTGTTAGTGTGATGGGGAGCGAATCACATTGAATTTGAAAATGTGTGTATAATTCATGGCAACCATGGTTGAAGACTCTTAGTCTTTTTTTAGGTTGAGGCATATAAAGCATGAGCACTTCTCAGAGGGCTCAAAACCGATTTTAAAGTAGAAATGTTGTTTTTCGAAAACATCATGGCTACATGTCCTCTGAGTATTTCAGCTTGACAGGATGTGAGTGTTGCTAGTTCACAAGTCGGGCATCGAGCAGGCTGTCAGTTGCCCCACGAGGTCTCTTTTGGCAGAACCTGCATGACTGAATCACTAAATGTGGCAGCACTGGAAGGTGCGAGACGTATAAGTAACAGAATATAGCCCACAGTGTGTTTGACTCACTCACACTCTTTTCAAGAGGTGCTCCCAAATCACCGTCTGAAATCAATTCATATTGTTCTGTCATGCTTTGCTGTCTGAATGTTAGGCTTGTTGTTGTGTGTAATTTCTGGTTACTCCAACTTTGGGTTTTTTTTGTGTCTTTTTTCAACTAAAGAAATATGCTTCAGTGTGGACTTGCAAAAAATTCAACCTGGCTGATGAAATCATTCAACAAGCCATTGCAGAATGCCAAAATACTATTCAGTCAAGTAAGGAAGTCTTACAGTCTTTCCTAACTTTTGAATATTTGACATTTATGACATTTACAACTTTCTGCAACTCAAAGGGAAAGACCAACAGAGATACAGAGGCAGATCTACAAAAAATTGCAACGTTTGAATCAGGGTCTTTTTGGCGTTTTGTGTTATTTCTTGACCTGCTATCGATCCTTGAAGGAAAATATGTTATTCAGTTTTAAGAAAGTGAAGGGTCATGGTAAGAAATGTCGATCTGGTCAGTATCTGGTCATGAATTCTAGAGCAGTTTCACAAAGCCATGGGCATGTTTTTGTCTGACTCTGAAATAATTGATTATTGCCCACCAAGGCAGTCGGTCCAAAACAAGCACCAATTGCAAACAAATGCTAATAATTTAACAATCCAACTCAGTAGCCTGATAATCAAACTGTCATTTCATTTTCAGCTCATCTTTCAATCTGACACATATTGATGATTGCTGCTTAATGTAGGGGGGATTATTTTGCTATTTTTTGGACATTTCATTTATAAAATAATCAATACCACTCTTTGCTTATTGTTCTCCACATAATCCTCAATATTTGATGGTATTATGAGGACATTGTTTGGGAGTTTAAACTTTAATTTTAACAGGCACTTTTTTGACAAAAGAAAAACAATTCAAAAGTGAACATTGATGTTCCAGGAAAGTTTCATATTTTCTTACCATCTCACTCGCTGTGTCTCTAAGGTTGTTTGCTCTATTGCACTTCTAGGTGTTTGTTCAAGACCATGAAATTACACCACAGAGCAAAGGGACATCGTTAAGAAAGAGAAAATTGATGATAACCAGCACTTGGAAAACAAACAGACCCATCCCCTGTGGTTCTCTGAATATTTCCCCATTAATCTGTTCTTAATAAGAAATGTAACTCCCCTTCTTGAGACCACAGGCAATAGGCAGACTCGATGGGATCATTTGATGGCAGAAGATGGCCTTTACGCTTTTATAATATACTCCAAGAAAGCAATTGAATTACCGTGAGGAATCTCAAACTGCTGCATTAAATGGGTTACTATTGTCAAGTGGTTTGCAGAAATTAACTGTAAACGATGAAAACCCATTTGTGAACTGTCTGGAAAGGCTGATTAATATAAAAGCACTAATGGTGTGCCAAACGAGTCAAGTGCAGAGGAGTCGTTTGTTCTGATTCATTTAAAAGGATAGATGTAACATTACTGTCATGTAACGATACAAAAATATCTGAACAGCTGGTTAATAAAACAATTATGTTTCTCTGTGTAAAAATAAAGATTTAATTGAGACATCAAATAGAAACAGTATAATTTGTTCTGAATTACCACTAAAGGTGGTTGCCAAATCATATTTGAATAACACTGTGTGTTGTGACAGGTGCAGCAGGCAATAACATACATTTACATCTGTTTTATTGTGTAAGTTCATTGTAAATTGGGAAGATACAGTAAATCTCAGCTCGACTCTTAAAGAGGTGAATTTGTTTTGAGCTGGTGTTACTGGGATAAATTATTATAAACTAAGACTTGGATCCCATTACGAAATAAAAAAAACTGGCTCAATATGTTTTCCTCAATTATCATCATTCAAACTGAAATATGTTATTACGTTCGCAGCAGTGACTTCCAGCAGCATAACTGTAGGAAAGATTGATAGTGGACCAGAGTAAAGGGAAACAAAATGGGGTTATATACAGGTTTTTAGTTGAGCTAAAAGCTTTATAGCTTTCTACAGTTGTCAAACGGCACTCTTGGGTTCAGATATTCTTATGTTTTTCTAATGTATTGCTATTTAGTGTCAGTGATGGAAAAAGTGCGCGCATCCTTTACTCAATGACTTTAAAGTATCAATAGAGTGCTGCAGGAAAGAGTTAAAACAAAAATACAAAATGTCATTAAGATGAACAGTATGCCTTCTTTAGTTAGTGGTTGTGACCCAAGTTATTAAATCCATACCACAGTATACTAAACTAGCAGTACACATACTATCTGAAATGTGTACCAAGAAGTAAGTACTTCTAGACAAAAAGCAGGTGGAGCTAGTTTGTTATATACAGTTTTTTAGTCCAGACCCAACCTAAAGGTCAGGCCCCCTCAAGTTTAGCAAGGGCAATCTGAAGACATTTATTAAAGGGAGAATACAACTATAATGCAAACTTTGTCAACTAAAATAGATGTTCAATTTTTTAGACTTTTCTTCTGTCCTGTATTCATTCCTGAAATGTTGGACAATACCCTTTTGGGACTCAAAAGCTTAATTGAATGAAAACATTTGAAAGACATTGCTTTCATATAAAATGTCACAAGCTAAAAGTGATAGAAACCACTAGATTCATCTTTAACTGTAAACTGTATTTGATCAATTCAAGCAGAGTAAAAATTACAGTATTTCTTTCCTTCTGAAATATTCTGATGTAAAAGTGGAAGTATAAAAAGGACCTCCAGAGTTGTACTTAAGTACAATACTTGTGTAAATGTACTTTCCTCCACTGATACCCCCTCTTTATAACCCATCACATAACGCTCTGTATCTTGTAAGAAAGCCGCTTTCATCCCTGAAATCAGATGGAGCAAAAGGAAAAAAAGATTCATTTTTAGCCTTGAGACCTTTTCTTACTAAACACCGGATAACACTAAGAATGTGAAACCAGGAAAGCGTTTCTCTTGCTACAGCTCTCACTGTGCAAGCAAATGTGATACAAATAGCACTGACACGTGTAATGGTGTATACTATCATGTTGGTCTATCAAAAGCGATAAAACTCACTAAAGTGGTCCTATAAGACTTCCAGTTCCTGTTGTGTTGGGCCGGTGTCCTGCAGGTTTCTGTTTCCATTACAGTTTTTGTACTGTGAGAGGTAATGAGCCACAGCTGGTCTGTATCTAACCGACGCCTTGGAAGGAGAAAGGAAACCTGCAGGACACCGACTCACAAGGACCAGAAAAGAGCTCCTCAGGGTTAAGCCTTTTTTTGATATATTTCCATGTTTGCAGTTTTATTGCGGTGGGGTCGTTCACAGTGTTGCAATTAGTCACTTGAGTGTTGGGATTTATGCTTTGCCATTTACTTTACATTTAAGTAGACTTTAATGCATCTGAAGAATAGCAGCCGTTACTGGCCACTGTAGACTAAATGCACATTGCACGCATTATAGGAATTTATACACTTCAGACACCCACCTTACATGTAGCTGTTATTTATGTTATGACTTGTTCGGCCAGCAGTGCTGATATCCCTGTTAAGAAGAGATTGATGTCTCGGCTAGGCCCCGGGATGAGAACTATAATCAAAGTGCAGGAACAGGGATTGATTCCTTCGTGTTCATTCATGCTGTGATGTCCACGCAGTGTGAAGCTACAGAGGCTCTTTGTGTGTGAGGCAGTAATGTCAGACACACATTACGTCCAGGGCTGCAGATCAATACCTTTTGGGCTCCTTCCTGACTTGAGTGTATTGAGAAGCCTTTTGAGGGAGTATACCATCTTTTTTCATGTGATGGGTCTAATCATTTGTACAGGCTCTATATCCCATGTAATTGGTTCTCAGTGTAAACAACCTGTTTTTATTTCCAGCACAATGATCTCACCTCAGACTTATTTGTGGACAGATTAGGTCAGACCCACCACACCACCTATGTGCCCTTTGACTTGCTCTTGTATTGAACGTCTGAACTTACTGATGTGAAACATGACTTTAAAGGTGGGGTAGGTAATTTCGGAGAAACCAGCTCGAGTGCGTAGAATTTGAAAATACACAACCGGAGAAAATCTGCCACTTCCTTACAGAGCCCCTCCTCCAACACACACGAACGCGCACATGACCAATGAGGGCACGAGATAAGTTTGTGCACAGATGGAAGGCTGACAGGCAGGTAGGCCATCCAGTTATTTTAGCCGGGCCAGCTAAAATGATTGGTCGTGCTTTTTACAGTATTACGGCTTCCACAGATGACATTTTGTTATGGATTTTTTGTCAAAGCACTTAAGATATTAATTGCTATCGGGATGTTAAGAGCATTCCATGGAATATAACAAAAAGTGTATCTCGAGCCGGTTTCTCAAACTTACCTACCCCACCTTTAATCACCCATAACCCTGGTGAAAATAGAATTTCTGGGTGAACTCAATTCTCAAATGACTCTTATTTTCAATTTAAAAGGACAGCGTATATTTTAAGTCATGCCAGGTGCATTGTTCTAAAATGATGCAACATATTTGTTCCTTAAAACACCTGAAAGTCTCTTATTTATATAAATAGAACTGTAATTCTCTGTAACGGCTGCACGCAGAGTAATGATGCAGTATATTTGGCTTGGATTGAAAGTTACGTGCTTTGAGAATCAGTATAATTGCGCCTGAAATGCCTTTAGGGTTAGAGCTGATTTGGTTGACTGTGGTGTCTCCTTTCTTTTTTAAAGCTAACAACTCTCATTAGATGTGATTCCTTAATTTATAATCTGTGACTTTTTTTTCCCTAAATTAAAAGGCATTTAAACGTTATCATTTTTATATCAAAGAAAAATATATTTTGTAATGCAGTTGTTGGTTTGCTGTTCTGATGATTCAAGCTGGAAAGTTTTAATGGCTGTCCATTAAGCCTTGGAAAGCCACTGAGTATTTCAATGAAGGGCACATTTTCCTCCAGAACATCCTTTTGCAATTCTATTGTTGTTATTGTTAAATATTTCCCTTTTTTTTTTCCTTCACTAATGTCAACCCTCATTCTTTATTTAGTCACTTTGTGTAAAGGCTGAAGTTTTAAATTCATATAAAAGCTTAAATGTCTTTTAAGTCTTCCAGATAACAGGATTTTCCCGAGCCTATTTTCTACTACAAAGCCCTACCTCTGATGTTTGGAGCTACAAATGACAAGACACACAAACAGCAGTAATACTTATGCCAGCACAAAGCTCAACAGTAATTCCTCAAGTATCTCACAGCGACGGTGCAGTGCTCTGTGTCTCTCATCGGCAATCAACATGCTAATTGGCTCTGAAATTTGAAGGGAGACAAGTCTTTTCTGATCTTCATGAAGAACGGGCTGCTCTGTCACTCATTAAAGCAAACTTATAATTCCCGGTCTCATTATATTGACACAGCAGAGGAATAGGTCTGGTCACTGTGGGCAAAATGTCATGGATCATGCTAATGATCGACACTGAGACCCATTTCCACTGAGCTCATAATTGCTCGCTCCTGCTGTGCCATTTTTCTAAAGATTAATTCTATTTTTCCCAACACAGATTTCGTTCTTCTTGATAAATGCTGCTGTGTTGGTGCTTGATTACGTGAGTATGTTTGTTTACCAAGATACATTTTAATCTTGTAAGAAGCTGGGTTCACTTCATCCAGGATGGATGGTTTGAAATCAGTGCACAATGTCTAAATAACAGTTTTGAAATACTTAATAATAAAAGGGACCACCTAATTTCACCTGATATACAGTTTAGTGTTTATATAAATATTTTCCTGTGGCAAATTATTGTCAAACATTGCTTCTGTACACTCAAAACTCATCATGGTGTAATTTGAAATGTTAATGTTTTCCCTTTATCTTTTTACTGATAGTTTGAATGCTTTTGTATTAATTTATATATATTTATATCTACTATCCATCTATTAGTTAATAATACATAATAATGAAGATAGAAAGAAAGTTTGAGGCAATGCTCTATTTAAAATCCCTAATTGTGGCGAATAAAATAAGAACTTTATTCTTCCAATTAAAATTGTTTCAGCACTTCAAGAGCCAGTGAAGCAAAGGGAAAAAGGTGACTGAGTGAATACAAAATATATAAGAAAGGATATACCTTATGCATATTAACACCTTTTTGCACTTGATAATTGTACCTCTGCTGTGAACGGTATGGTAATATTTATCATTAGTATTTTCTCAGTCTGTTTTTAAAAGTTTTTTTTAACACAATCTTTTTTTAATCTTTTTTTATCAATTTAAATGCCAAAATGTTTTCTGTATTGAAATACAATTTGTAACAAAATAGAGGAAAGTAGAAGACTTAAAAGGCAAGTAAGAAAAGTAAACAAACAATAGTCACCAGAAGTTACTGTGACTCATTGCCATAACACAGCATGAGTGCTTTTTATGATTACAGTTGTCTAATGTATCTACTCAACATGGTCACTTTATTTATTATTTGTTATTTAAGTATGCAAGATAAACATTGTTTTTGACTGTGGATATACAATTATTTCCATTGCCACCTTTTACACAGCAACACATCTAACAGCTGAAAATACATTAGAAACTGCACAACATGGTTGCCTCAGGGGGCTTCTTGCTTCAATTTCATGTTGATTACATTTTTAGTTTTCTGTTGATGCAAATGTCAAATGCATAACTTGTGCACGAGATATATTCCTCAGTTTAGCCCACCCAGGCAGCAGCTGTTCTCAGGTTGAATCACCAGGGTGACATATCAATCATTTATAGAGAGAAACACAAACTTCTGTACCACAATGTCAAAGCTTATTACTGTATGAAGAATCAGTAATGATTTTTGTCATGCACACAACAACAACATGTAATATGAGGACGTGGCATCACCACATCTTCAGCAATATCATCAAGAACCATCCTATGAAATAACTTACCGTCAGCAGCACAGGGCGACTCTCTTTGACGGCTCCTACGCAGCCCAAACAGCCGATCACCATGATTATGGTTCCCACCGCGATCAGCAGGTTGGCAGCTGACAGGGAGGGAAGTGATGATGATAGGGTGGCAAAGTTTCCCTGGGTAACTGAGAGCCAAACTCCCACCCCCAGTATGCCACATCCTCCCAACTGCAGGGGACACACAAAGAGGCATACATGGGTCAGTGTGCCAACAGCATAATCAGAATCACCCTAATCTGAAAGGCAGTCAAAGATGGGGGTGCATAGAAACCTTTGCAGAATTGTATCTGGCTGTTGGTTTGCTTTTCAACTTCATGATAGTAAGCAGGAACAAACATTGAACAAAGAAAAACAAATGTAAGAAATGAAAACACAGCAGCAACCACTCGAATAAACAGAGTTAGCAAAGCGTAGCAAACAGCAAAACGTTTAAAGATATTGTTCAACATTTTCTGAACATATATTCAATTATTTTACTGCAAATAGTTAGTGAGGAGAATGACGCCACTCACACATCTGTCCGCTAAGTATAAGGCTTCAACAAGTAAGCTAAAAAGGACTTGCGTGCCGAAACAACTTCTTGCGACTGGTTTTGATTTTCTACATTAACGAGATGTAACAAGATTTAAGTTGGTTTAGAGGTGCTGGTTGGAGTATTGGGTTAATTGGAGTGGAGCAGGTCTAGCACTATACCCCAGTTTGACAAATATATGTCAAACCATTCCTTTAATTGTCTCTTTTACCCATGCAGTTGGTTAACATGGTCATGACTAGGAAAAATGATATACAACCAATGAACTTCATCCCTTTTTTTATACATTTTTAATAGTTTTATCTTCAAACAGATTCATTACAAATGAAGCCAGAGAAGTCATGTGGACTGTCGGGTTACTCGTGATTGTATTTATGCATCATTGGTAAATAAACCCACATGAAATAATCAACTACTGGTGACTCACACTTCAATGTGGAACATTGTTGCACAATATATATTTATGTGACTGCTCTGGTTCATGAGCATTATTAGTCCCAACTCTAACTGGACCTAATACATGATGAATAATGGCGAGTGGGTAGAAAGTAGGATGAAAGAAATCCTGTCTTGTACTGTACCCTTATAGAAGGGATGTTACTGTGTGGTAGCTTTTCACTCTTTTTAATGAGGAGTTTCCCTTTTTATCTTTCTGATATGTGAGGGTGAAATCTCTGCTCATGTGCTGACATGTTAGTATGTTCACCAAATGGTCCTGAATAATTATAGAGGGTTATATGGGTTGCTGAAACGGATCTCTTTGAACATTGCTTTCTTTAGAAGACACAAAATAAGCACATTTTATCATCATTTCCTCATTATGTTAATAGTTAACTGAATACGTGTCTTTTATTTGGTATTGCAGATTTGTTTGTATACTTGCGTAGTTTATAGGAGATCATATTGACCCATCAGCCTTTACACTTTATTCAGACGTGGAAAGTAATGGAAAGAGACTCATGAATTCTTGCACCACATTTGGCCGCAGTGGCATAACCGAGAGGAATGTTAAAGGGTTTGAAGGTAGTGTTGAGGCCCTATCAGTTTAATAATATAAAATGAATGTGAAATCACATATCTACCCTCACACGATCCAGCAGTCTACTTTGCTTAACACCACCGAAAAAAGGTGAAGTATGAATTACTATGACAAATTTAACCATAATGAAACCAAAGATCTGATGGCATTTAAAACGATTAAACCCCTCTCATTCGCCTCACAAACAATGGATCGATTATTCACATTGTTACAAATTAGTATATGCAACAATTTCCAGTGCCAAAACACCTACTTGGTAACGTTTTGGGCTGTAATTTAGTTTGGGTTTTGGTCAATTATTTTAGCTCAGTGATAGTTTTCTTAGCTTTCTTAAAATGTGTCTCAATTTAAACTGTAAGGAGAGTGACTGAAACATTGAAAGAACTTGCTTCCCATCTGGAATCAAACTGGGATTATGATTGGTAAATTAATATTAAACTGTTGGCACACTCAACCCGTAGCTTGAATCACGTTCCCTACATTTTGTGAAGTGTATTAAGATTGGGGAAAATCCCTAGTTTTGGTCAAGTTATAATTATTAGGATGTGTTTCCTAATTCAAGTCAACTTTAACCTAGTGCTGCCTATAGCAATGAAGTCCTTGGAAATACAATGCTGTAGTCACCTCTGGTGGATTTTGTATTGTGAGATCAGATATTTTGGCTTAAAACAAGTGACACATGGTCCTAAAGAACAGCTGTTTATTATATGCGACCAGCCAAAGTTATTCTTTGAAGAATTCAGCTACTTTCCAAAGCCAGTGTGGATCCTGTTTTTTCTTCTATAGATTAATTTCATAGTATGTTTGCCTTTAGGAGCACAGAATAATAAAGAGTACACATTAATGAAAGGATTTTCAGATGAATCAATAGGAAAAGAATGTTCACACACTCACTGTTCGTCACTTGCAATAAGATTTACATGGTTCAATACACATTTATTGTTATCCCCTGAACCTTTTTTATTTCCATCTTAAAAACAAGATCCTATTTAATGAGCTCTTGAGCTGGAAGTAGAGAAAGGCTAAAATAAAAAGCTGTCATGTGGGGCCCCATAAAATGAGGTTTCTGTTCAATTTCGAACACAGATCGTAGATTTCAGCAGCTTGGAGTGTAATAAGGGTCCATTGTGAGCGACAGTGACCCAAAGACCCTTCATTTGCAGGTCTCCCTTGAAAAAGAGATCTATGATCTCAAGGGACAATCTGGATAAATAAAGGTTTGAAATGAAATGAAATGTGCAGAGTGTATTCTTTAATGAAGAGTGGCCGCAGGGGAGAATGGTGAGGGATCAAGATCCCTTGTCACGATCCCTCACCATTCTCCCCTGCGGCCGGGAATTGATGATTTTGAATTTGTTAAGGTCCGATTTTAAATCGTCTTTGAAGCAAGGATCAAATATAATATAATATGTTAGCTTTATGCCAGAAAGATACCAACTGCAAGAATGAAAATACAAGTTTTATTCAAGTTTGATATGCGATTATGATATGATAACTAGCTGTATTTTGTCAACCTCTCTTGCACTGATAGGCTAAAATGTTCTTTATTGACCTCTCTGTCATGAGTAGAATCTCCTCAGCAACTTAAAATCCGTCCATTTTAAGTTGCCCCATGTTCCCCCATTTGTTTTAGGGAACATGGGGGCACATTAAATGTTGCATTCTTTAGTCAGGTCCACCAATTACAAATGCAGAATGTGCCTCAAGGGTCTTTTAGCATCTGTACAGCACACAACACCCTCTATCATTCATCCTTCCAAAAAAAGGTTTCTCATTGCAGATCCTATTCTGGTAAATATTTAGCAGTTTAATTTCTCTCTGAGCATATTTGATTTTCTACTGCTGCAGCCTTTACATGAGTATGACTCATTTTATTCAGACTCGTGCTATGTTACAGAAATGTTGCTACATGGTAAGATTGCTGTTGATATAAGGTAAGTCACTAATGTGAAATGTAACATTGAAAATCATATTTACACAACAATGTTCCTCAATGCTAGTGGCTACAAATTGTCTTATTTCCTTCAACAACAAATAATCGGGACTTGCATACTTTTCCTGATCAACAGTCCAAAATAGCAACGCATTACATTAACAGTGATTAATTACTGAGAAAAACAAGAAATCCTCACCTTTTGAATAGTATTGAATTGAAAATATTGAGTTTTATAATATATGACTGATTACTTGCAACCTTTAATTATCCCAGTACTGTGGCTGGTTATGAAGTTGATCAAAAATCCTTCCATGTTATCTTTTTACGGAGTGTTTTACTTTCACTGTGATCTGAAATGGGCAGCTTTCATCTTTACAGTCACACGGATTTACAGTGCTTTCAATTGATACAACCATCTGGTCTGCCTCCTCCTTTCACAGTGGGTTTGTGTATTTGAAGCAGAGCCTCTGATTCTGGCTGATTGGGGCCCATTAAGGGAACATACATAAAATACAGTGTAGTTAATAGGTATAGGGAGAAATCTGTAACTTCACAAAACAGAAATACTCACACTGATATAAGGATGAAAAGAAGGCTGAATTATTTCCCTGATCAAATAAACATGTGCAGTAGATGTATACTTGACTCCTGGGCGCACAATGTATAATACAGGTGAATGTTTTAATGAATACGTGCACAGTACCTGACTTTCCTGTGATCTTATTGCAATTATGAGCACTGCATCTTGAACATGGGTCATGAATATATATTAATATAATTACACTAGTATGATTTAAGGTCATACTCTGAATTTGTATTCATGCTTGAATATAAATGTGCATATTCTATTCTAAGGGCCAAGGATTGGTCGAAAAAATAGGTTTCTCTGGTACCACAGCTTGAAATGTTAGTTTGAAGTCCCGTGCTTCATATATTATTTCTTTTGTCACACTTTGATGTGTTAATCATGAATGTATTCAGTATTTTTCTGAAGGAGTGAATTCTGGTGCTTTTATCTGTTCCCATGGTTATATCCTGGTGATGAGGTTTAAAGGAAGTTGATTTTAAAACATGATATACTTTTAGATCTGCATTAGAGCAATATATTTGATTTATGAGAGTGGTGTAAAATCCAGCAGGGAGCGAGGGTTTACTGTTGATTGGGGCCACAGTTCTGAATCTGATCTCGCCTTTTCGGGGTATTTTGTAATTATAAGAACATGTTTTATGGCCCCGATCAGAGCCTGCCTATGCTTTTATTATTTACAAAGCAGGAGAATGTAAGCATTGCTGATTGAACATGTACTCTGTAGAGAGCTGCAGCAACTGAATGTAGCAGCTTATTATTGAATAGCATCTTAATATATATACTGAAGGTTCAAAGGTATTAAGTTGATGGGCTTACATTGTTAATATGATCTGAAAATGTGAATGTTTTGCCTGTTATGTATATAATGTGACGCGCTAGAGAGAAGATGTATCACTCTGGGACTTCTGGGAAGCTGCTACTTGTTTTGTTATTTTGTTCACTCGCTTTCTTATAAGCAAAGGGACCTATTCAGTTGAATCGGTTCCCATTGTGCTGCAACACAAACACTGCAGGCAGACAAAAGAATGTCAAATTCAGTAATGAAAGGACAGAATCGGATTCCATTTAAAAA